GGGACCTCTCTTGTTTCCTTGGCTGATGTGATTCTTGACAATTCTCTGACCCTGGATTGCCTTCTGGCAGAACAAGGCAGAGTAGCTTCATGATCTTGGCAGAGGCAATATTGCCTCTCTTGTCTGGTCAACAGTTAAGGACGCCCAAAGTTAACCCTGGTTCTTTCCCTTACTAGGCCCTTTCATGGGTATTGTTCTTCTCCCCTTTTAACCGTTGTTTGTTTAACCTCCTGGTTAGTTTGCATCTTTTAGGCTCCAACAGTTTGAAATAAGGTTCATAATGATGGCTCAAGGAATTCAGTCCATTCCAGCAGTAAGTGGGCCAGGTTCCTACAGTTCCTCAGAACAGTCAGTGAGGGGCTTCTACACCTCTAGGGTAGGCTAGGGTCTGTGGCTGCTGTCCAGCAGGAAGAAGTTTCAAAAGAAGAGACCTTCAGCACCTTGTTTGTTTAGTCGCTCAGTCGTGTTTGGCTCTTTGCAACTTCATGAACAGAAGCCCGCCAAGCTCCTCTGTCTATGGGATTCTCTAGGCAAGAATACTGGAGTAGGTGGCCATTTCCTTCTCCAGGGGATCTTCCTGACTCAGGGATTGAACCCACGTGCCCTGTGTGGCACTTGGATTTTTTTTTTTTACCACTGATTACACCTTAAGAATGAGTGTGGAGTCTCTCAGGGGAAATGAGGCAGGCCTGGGACCATTTGCTGGAGTGCTGCAATTTTTGCACCTGGACACACCTCTCCTCCAGCAACAAAATACAAAGAAACTATATGGAACTAAAAATAACTGTGTGCATGCACAGTTCAGGTCAGTTCATTCACTCAGTCCTGTCCGACTCTTTGCGACCCCATGAATCGCGGCACACCAGGCCTCCCTGTCCATCACCAACTCCCACAGTTGACCCAAACCCATGCCCATCGAGTCGGTGTTGCCATCCAGCCATCTCATCCTCTGTCATCCCCTTCTCCTCCTGCCCCCAATCCCTCCCAGCATCAGGGTCTTTTCCAATGAATCAGCTCTTCGCATGAGGTGGCCAAAGTATTGAAGTTTCAGCTTCAGCATCAGTCCTTCCAATGAACACTCAGGACTGATCTCCTTTAGGATGGACTGGTTGGATCTCCTTGTACTCCAAGGGACTCTCAAGAGTCTTCCCCAACACCACAGTTGGAGCAAATACGGACCCAAAAGATACAAAGAGACCAAAAATTCCAACTGCCACTTTTGAAGAACCTAGTGCAAAAACAGGGTGTCGAGAGCACAAGCAGGGTGTAGAGAGCCAAAACAGAGTGTCAAGAGCAAAAGCAGGGTGTTGAGAGCAAAGGCAAGGTACTGCATATCCCCCCCCTGCACATAATGCCACCTAATGGGTGGGCAAAACACCTAAGCCACCCCTCCAGCCTGACTCCTCAACACAATCCTACACTCATCCCATGTAAGGAACAAGCTTGCCCCCAACTCAGAGAGTGAGGAAGCAAGGGAAACTATTGTTTGTTCTCTTTTCTGCCTGGGGCAGCAAGGGCCCCAGTAAAGCCTTGTCTCAATTTCTTGTCTGGCCTCTGGTCAATTTCCATTGTTTGTGAAATGGCAAGAACAATGTGACCAATAGAATCCAATGAAAATGATGTGTCATTTCTGAAGTTGCATTTTAAGAGGCCTTGCAGCTTCTGCCTTGGTCTCATGGAAATCTTATCCTCGGAGCCTTCAGCATCATATATTAAAATCTGAATACCTTAAAGCTACCTTATTGGAGAGATCATACACAGAGAGGCTCTGAAATTTTATGTAGAATGATTCAGCCATTTGAGTTATCTTGGCTGAAGCACTGGATGCAGCATGAAACCGGAATTGAGCTGTGCCCCCTGGGCCCTGCTTAAATTACAGATTCAGGAGGAAAATAAATAATTGTTGTTTTAAGCCATTAAGTTTGTTACACAGCAATGGATCATAGAAACACTCCTCTCCTTTCTCCTTCACTTGTAAAGTGTTTCCTTAGGTGAGTACAGAGTGAGCAAGCATGGGTCAGGTCAACTCGAGAAAAGGGACTTTTGCAGCCACCGTTGCTGGAGTAACTGGTTTATCCATGCTGTCTTCTGAGAGGTAAATAACTCTATCATTTCTGTGGTCAAGACACTCAGGGGACCCAGACCATATCTGCAGCTTGTGTCCAGGTGCAAACCCACAACTCAACTTATTTAATACAGATGAACATCCATCTATTTCACTGAACATGAATGATAAGTTTCTATAGAAAAGATATCACAAGAGTATAAGTAGCAGGAGGATTACAGGCAGAAGGAATGACCAATCTCTTTCTGGACTCTACAGAGTTAGTACTGCCAGCACATGTGCCCTTTTAGGACCTGCTCCCCACTCGTGTTTGTAAAATAGAACTCATCCTATGACTGAAGCAATTAGACCAGGGGTGTGCACATGACCGATGAGTAACCATTTCATCATTGTGCATGGGTGTGAGCATGCTAAATGGCTTCAGTCTGACTCTTTGTGACCCCATGAACTGTAGCCTGCCAGGCTCCTCTGTCCATGGGATTCTCCAGGCAAGAATACTGGAGTGGGTTGCCATGCCCTCCTCCAGGGGATCTTCTCAACCCAGGGATCCAACCTGAGTCTCCTGTGGCCCCTGCATTGCAGGTGGATTCTTTACCACTGAGCCACTGGGGAAGTCCAATCTATTATTGACTGGCCAACACTTTATCTGGTTATCTTCCTTGAGAATCTGAGCTAAGATATAAAGAGACTCTAGCATGCACTGGGAGAGAAAGGAATGAGGATTCGGAGTGGGATGACTATTCTCAGCCATATGTATGCCAATGAGTAAGTAAAGAGTGCTGGTTTGCAGGGGGAAAAAGGTGGTAATGAAAATTCATTGGCAGGGGCAGGAAGAAGGGAGAAAAGAAAGAAAAAGAAAGAGCATGAGTGAACTCTAGCACTAGAGTTCACTGGCTTTGAATTGGCTTTGAATATGTCCTAGTTTAAATAATTTAATTATTAAACAGTAATAATTGTTAAACTATTTCATTTTTGGTCAGGGGTGATGGTGGGATGGGATTTAACAGAAAGGGGATTTTATCTTCACTTTTTTTTAAAGGGTCCCTGAAAACATCACTATTGGATATAGATTTTGTTTTAGGTATAAGTTTCTCATTAATGAATACTTCAAAACCATGAGCTTTAGAGATCGTTTCTCTAAAATTAGTTTTGTTTGTTCATTAAGAGGAACAGCATCACTGTGGGGCAGAGTTCCCAAGGCATCAGAAGGCCTAAGCAGATACTTCTTTACTTCTTTCAGATGAATCAGAGAACAAATTTAGGAGGAGGGAGCCCTGAACAGTGCAGGCTCTGGATCTTTCTAGACCCTGTCTAACCACTCTCACTGTGACTACAGATTAGTTTCTTCACCTCTGTGGACCTCTGTTTCCTCCACTGTACTACATGGAAGTCACAATTTTAACCTTTTATGAATATAAAACATCTAAGGGTCTTACTCAAAACATTGTCACATAGACTTTTCATCTCACTCTGAAGAAGGAAAAGTGTGTACTGGTTAAAGACTCTATTGCCTAAGATCTGGAACTTAAATTAACAGTAAGTTCTAATACTTGAGCACATGTACTTTTCTTCCTGATTGTGCAATAAATGGCAGGAAGTGAAAAAGGGAACATTCTTAATGCTCAAGTTGTCAGAGGCTCATTGAGGATACACATTAGATGTGAATAAGTGTGGGAAAGTAGAAAGTTAACCAAATTTAAGCCTACACTAAGCTGCATTTGATGTCCTACCAAATGCCAAAATACTGTGCTCAGAGAATTAAACCAACAGCTTACCTTTTCTATTACACAAGCAATACATGCGTATTGTAGTAAAAGTCAACCCAAGCATAGCATATGTTAATATTTAATATATATTTTTAAAAATATCTTCAGACAAACCCTACAGCATTTATTGAGAATATATCTGATAGTTTATATGGCAATGCTTACATCCTCCATGAGGCTATAAACCCCATGAGGAGAACCCTTTTACCATTACTCTCCCCCAACCCCTCCACTTTAGCCACTTTGGGAAAGAATAGGGGAAGGTTGTAAATGTTTCCTCCACTAGTGTGTAAGCATTCATTTGACAAACGTCTCATTGAGCAATTAGTGTGGAGTTGAGAAAGGCTTGGGGGATTTTAAAAAAGACAGGGCTTTTGGTCTCAAGAAATTCACAGTTCCAATAAGGAGACAGTACAAAAATACTTATTTTTCTAAGTTCTTGTTCAATCTTAGTCATTCGTGGAAGCTCTAAGAAAGCACATTAGAGAGGGCAAGGAGGGTCAGAAAAGTCGTTGGGGGAATTTCTTGGGCGGGGGGGATACTAGCCAGACGACATGGGTCCAGGATTGAGGCCAGTGAATTTCAGGACCCTTCCTGCACCAGCAGGAATTCCTGTTCCCTCACCAATAGCATCACAAAACTTAAGTCTAACGTTCAACTAGGGGGCCCTTCTGCGTCTAGAACTTGGAAACTGAGAACCTAGGGCAAAAAGACCTGGCTGTCGCAGATGTACTACCAGCAGCGGGACAGTCCAGTTGAGTTCTAAGAGGGGCGGGACAGGTTGGGAGCTGGGTCGGCTGTAAGGGCACCGAAGCCGGCCGGACCAGCCCCTGGAGTCTGGCGCAGGAGCCCGGCGAAGATTGGTTGTGTGCATGCGTCGGCCTCTCTTCATAGGCCGCGCAGGGCTGCTCGCGGGACTTTGATTGGTTCCCCGAGCGCTGAGCTGTCATTGGCTGCGGTGGGTCGTCAGGACAACTGAGAGGAAAAAGAAAAGGGGTGTTGGGCCTGGCGGGCGAACCTGGGCTGCGGGCTACTGGGCGGTTCCGCGGGGCAGTGTTCGGACCACTGCGGAGCCCAGGCGCCCGAGGTTCTCATCACAACTCCAGGAGGTGCCTGAACCAGCGGGCCGGCGAGGAGTAGCGACCAGTGAGACCCCGCGGGCCAAGACCATGGGCTGCTTCTTCTCCAAGAGGCGGAAGGCTGAGAAGGAGTCGCAGCCGGAGGACGAGGAAGTGCAGCCAAAGCAGTACAGCTGGGACCAGCGCGAGAAGGTAGAGTCCCTAAGCGGCTGGTCTCAGTCCTGCTGAGCAGCTCGGCGAGGGTCCCCCGCGGGCAGCAGCGCTAAGGGGGCGGGCCCAGCAGCTGCTGCTCTTGCGCGCGTGCTCTCTCCCGAGAGTTGTTGAAGTCGAAGTGAATGACTTTTGGGGGAGCCGTGAAATTGAATGCTAGAGAAGGCTTCAAGGAGGGTGGTGCAGCTCTGGATGGGGCCCTAGAGCTCATTGTCCAGGCAGTTGGACACTACGGGCTTTCCCTCCTCTCTGCATCCTGCCCTCCAGTCCGAGAATGGACTCCAGAGAAGGAAGGAGAACCTGGAATGCCCCAAATCGCGTCTGCTCATTTCACTTGCAGTGCCGAGCAGGGTTTTGTCCAGTCCTCGAGTTACACTTGGGACTGATCTCATCTCTTTTGCGGCTTATGTTCTTTCTGTGACTGTTTTCTCTTTTGTCTGCCCTAGTCAGTAAATATCTGGTGCTTCCTGATATATTCCACTGCAGAATTTTCTCAATGACGAAGTGGACCATTTGACATATACAGCCCTGCTTTCCCCTCCTCTTCCAATTACCCAAAAGGAATAATGAAAATCAAATCAGTCTTTGGAATGTGTGTTAAGACTGTAAGGTGAAAATAACCAACATAAGCTAGGCAGTCTTTTACTGTTGAATGAATGAACATGCCCTTATTTTTACTTTTCTTTATAGCCAGAAACGAAAAACCTTTGAACACGTCCACTACCTTTGAACAGTTTTACAGTCTTACACAAAACATACTTAGTCATAAATTTCATAATGCTTCCTCTTTCTACAGAGTTCTCCATTTATGTTTAGAAAAATACTTTGATAGATCCATTAATTTTTTTCTCTTCCAAACAAAATGATAAAAAGTTTTAAATGAGTGTTATGAACAGTTAATACAACTCCTTGCTTAATAAAACATATCTTTTTCAATGAATGCTTTATAGTAAATGTCTTATTAATGGTTTGTTTTCATAGACCATCCTACATGATTTCCAGTCCCCTGCAGAATTTATTCACATAAACTTGGTTCTCCAAGTGTCAGATTTTAAAAATTGGACACCTTTTTACAGACTTCTCAGCTCCATCTTTCTGCCCCTGCCTCACAGGGTTGCATAATCGGTTTATTCTATTTTATCCATACTTGATAGCAGCATTTTTAAAATTATATTTATTTATTTTTAATTGACTGATTATTGCTTTACAATATCAGTTTGCTGTCTGCGATAATCAACACGAACTAGCCATAGGTGTACATATGTCCCCTCGCTCTTGAACCTCCCTCCCACTTCCCACCCTTTCCCACCCTCTCTAGGTCCTTTCAGAGCCCGGGTTTGAGTTCCCTGAGTCATACAGCAAATTTCCATTGGAATAGCCACATTTTATAACATAGGAGTGGAAAGTACTATACTTTCTGTCTGAAAGCAAGCCCTTTTAAAAATCTTTTATACTGTTAGAGAATTACCAGCTTAACATTTTGAGAGAATGGAGATACCACATTTCCCAACATTGCTTTTTCTTTTTGGAATTTGTTGTTGTTGTTGTTTTTTCATTAATTTTTATTAGTTGGAGGCTAATTACTTTACAATATTGTAGTGGTTTTTGCCATACATTGACATGAATCAGCCATGGATTTACATGTGTTCCCCATCCCGATCCCCCCTCCCACTTCCCTCCCCATCCCATCCCTCTGGGTCTTCCCAGTGCACCAGCCCTGAGCACTTGGAATTTTTTGTTCTTTTGGAATTACTAAGAATTCATTCTTGGGCACCTCTAATTTATGATGACCTGCTAAGTTTTATATGATTTTAAAGGTTTTTTTCCTGCTCCTTAACTCATGAGCTCGATATGGGTAGTGTGCATGTTCTATATTAATCCAGTGATACTTTTATTGAGTTTAGCATGGTCTTGCTTGCTCCTAGATTTTAATTGTATCTTAAAAGAAACAGGGTGTGAATGCAGCCCAGAGAACATGAATGAGATATATTGAAGGTATATTAACAGAATGGTTTGTATTAAAAGTTTAGATCTCTGTAATGTGATCATGAAATATAAACAATTTTAAAGTTACATCAGACAATTACCATTCAACTTGTAAGACTTAGCTGTAAAAACAAAGTGCATTGCCTGAAAAGTTTCCATGCAACTTAGAAAAGTGGTGTTTAGACTTTTCCTTAGGTTGTGTAATCAGTATCCTTATTGAGAGGCACCCTCAGGGGTTTGGATTTTGAGTTGTGTAATTGAGTCGGTCTTAGGGGACTGAAGCTAGAAGAAATTGTCTCAATTAGAAAGAATGTTTGGGGACTTAAGTGTTGTCATGACAACTGATTTACTGTAATCAACAGTGTAAGAAGCTCATTTTCTATTGCTGACTTTGAAAAAGAAAAAAACTTATCGTACAGTTACTACATTGATAAGATGAAAAGTATTTTTGGATTGTAAGATCTGTGTTTAAATCATTTGGAAAGAAATGCTTACATCCTTGTTATCTGTATGCTGCTTCCCATAGCTAGGCAAATTATTCAGTATATGTCCTCAAACACTAAGGAAGACTCACAATGACGAGAATTATTTTCCCTGCCCTTGAAGAGCTAACTGGCATTTTTAGATTAAAACAGGAAATATTTAAGTACAAAGGAAGAATGAGTAGTACAGAAAAAATAGCTTTCATTTTCTAGTTACTTATACCTTTCTCTTCCTAGATGATAGAAATGGTGGCATAGGTATGAAAGTTGTGATTTTGAGCACGGACAATACATATTATATCCGCTCAGTTTTCTCAGCTACAAAATGAAACCTGGTAAAGATTTATCTACTGTTTAGTACGGTAAAGACCTGTCCTGAGGAAGAGAGGTTAGACAGTACTGGCTACCTCTGAGGACAGAACTTGGACAGGCAGAACCAATCTTAACACAAAGCAGATCATAACTCAAGAGTTGTTCACCACCAGAAGGGGTGGCTTTGTGAAGAACCAGTCTTCATGTTGGTCAGAAAATTCACATAGAGGTTGGCTGGTGATTTACTGGAAAGAAGTATCTGCATTGAGTAGGGGGCTGTTTTTGAGTAGATGGTTTTTTTAACCCCTTAAGTACTTAAGGTATTCTGTTATCCGTGGTTGCCTACCAAACTACCCCAAAACTTAATGTCACAGAATAATGGCAAGTACTTATTTTGCTCACAACTCTGCAATTTGTGTGGGGCTTAGCCTGGTTGGCTCTCTGCTCTGTGTGTCATCAATCGTGGCAACTTGACTGGGGAGTGGAGGATCTGCTTTCAATATGACTTAATCACAAAGCTGGCTGGCAAGTTGATGCTGGCTTTTGGCTGGAAGCTCAGCTGGGGCTAAGGGCCAGGGGCCTCGTCATGTAGCCTGGGCTTCCCCACAGCATGATGGCTGGGTTCCAAAGGCGAGTGTCCCGAGACTGGCAGAAGCTGCATGGCTTTTTCTAACTGCTCTCTTAAGTGATGTAGCATTACTTCTGCCTTTTTTTTTTTTTTTTTGGCCATACCTCGAAGCATGTGCAATTTGGGATCTTAGTTCCCCAACCAGACCAGAGATGGAACCTGTGCCCCCTGCCCAGAGTCCTAACCACTGGGCTGCCTGGGAAGTCTCTGCCATATTGTTTACTGAGGCAATCACAGGTGTCACCTACATCCAAAGGGAGGGGTTCTCTTGATGGGATAAATGTCAAACTTGTCAACTTGTTTTAAATCCTTTACATAAAGTTGTTACTTAACGGAAATAACTAGTTCTTTCTTTATACATTTAAAAATAGTTTTATTGAGATATAATTAATAGGCATACAAGTTCACAGAGTTCTGTTTCCATCACTGTGATATAATTTTTTAACATTTTCCTCCCTCACAAAAGAAACCCAGATCCATAAGTTGTTATTCCCTACTCCCCCTAGCCCATGGAAACTATAATTTTACTTTCAATCTCTAGAGATTTTGTCTATTTGGGACATTTATCAGTGAAATCATGCAGTATGTGTTCTTTTGTATACTTTCACTTAGCATGTTTTTGAGATTCATCCATATTATAGCATATGTCAATAATTTATTCTTTTTTATTGCTGAATAACCTTAACATAGAGTAGATATTTTATTTCATCTTATTTATAAATAAATTTTATTTATTTTACTATCCATTTTGTTAGACATTTGGCTTGTTTCCACTTTTTGGCCATTACATTCCACTCCTAAGTATATATCCAAGAGAAATTAAAACATAACTTCCACACAGAAGTTTATACACAAATATTCATAACAGCATTGTTTGTAATGGCCAAAAAGTGGAAATAAGCCAAATAACTAGAACAGTACGATCATTTCCCCAAATTTCCTCATGCCCTTTTGTAGTCAACTCTGCCTCTAGTCTCTGATCAGTTTTTTTTTTATTGAAGGATAATTGCTTTAGAGAATTTTGTTGTTTTCTGTCAAACCTCAACATGAATCAGCCATAGGTATACATATATACTCTCCCTTTTGAGCCTCCCTCCCATCTCCCACCCCATCCCACCCCTCTAGATTGATACTCAAACCCCTGTTTGAGTTTCCTGAGCCATACAGCAAATTCCCATTGGCTATCTATTTTACATATGGTAATATAAGTTTCCATGTTACTCTTTCCATACATCTCACCCTCTCCTCCCATCTCCCAATGTCCATAAGTCTATTCTCTATGTCTGTTTCTTCATTGCTCCCCTGCAAGTAAATTCTTCAGTACCATTTTTCTAGATTCCATATATATGTGTTAGAATACGATATTTATCTTTCACTTTCTGACTCACTTCACTCTGTATAATAGGTTCTAGATTCATCCACCTCATCAGAACTAACTCAAATGTGTTTATTTTTATGGCTGAATAATATTCCATTGTGTATATGTGCCAGAACTTCTTTATCCATTCATCTGTTGATGGGCATCTAGGTCCCTTCCATGTTCTAGCTGTTGTAAATAGTGCTGCAGTGAACAA